GCAACAAGCAAATGCACTGGTGAGGATTACTGGACAAGTCGTGTTTATATCCAAACCCTACTGGCAAGGTAACGACCTTCCTTACACCTTGCAACTATGTCAGTTTGTCAGAGCTCATGAAAAAATTAAAACAGTACAACGGGGGTTGCATGTACCCTTGTGTATCGAGATTGCTCAACGCCCTGCTCAATATACGCAACATGGTGCAAGGCCACTTGAACTACAATCCACAACAAGCTTGACAGATACCAAAATGCAAGATTCCTGGATGTAACAGACAAAACAAACTGGGATTTGGCAATGTAAAGTATTGCAACGAATATCCCAGAACTGTAGCCCTTGCTGCCACATGTGCTGCAGCCCATGCTGCTGCTTTGATAGACGCCAGTCATGCCCGCTGCCCGCAGGTCCGCCGGCTGGAGGCTGGGGCTGCAGGCTGTGACCGGAGTGATATTCTTCACATTTCTGCTAGGTACATTTTACCGCTCTGCATCACTGTATCATCCTCAGCGAAGAGCCATTTTGCATCTTAAGAATTCGAAGAAAAAGGTGGGTGCGGTGAGAACCATCTGCAGTTTAGTTTTAGTTTAGCTGTAGCAAAACAAGAAAACTGTAGACGCTTGATCTCTTGACAGTTTGTGACGCGGGGAACCACGCTTCTGATGCGCTTATCTTCAGATTCATCCATCAGGCAGATGGATGCCATGCCTGGTCACGTGACACCCGTGCATGTACTGGTGGATGGATCAGGCGGAGAGTATATAAACGTGCGATGTGCATTCTCTCACAACTTAACAGCGTGTCATTTCCCATTTGAACCACGCGACGACGCGTGGTATTTCCAGTAATATGGCGATAAATGGCGTGACAGGTACCACCCTTAAGTGAAATATTTGTGATGGTCATGTGTTGAACCGAGTCCTATCATTCAAGGTAAAAGGTAAGAGCAAGCTGGACGAGAAGCCGCCGTTCTTCGACCTGTCCATGCTCAAGTCGCTGACGGTGCGCATCCTCCTGATCTCCGCCAGCCTCAGCTCGGTCGGCCTTCACACACCGCTTATATACATGGTCAGTGCACTCGCGCACTCGTGCACTTAAAGACACACCGGTAGGCGCGGTAGGTCCGCAACACTAATGCGTCCGTGTTATTGACATCGCCTGCTGCGCAGGTCGAGGTGTCAGCAGACCACGGGTGGATTGGTTTGTTCGGAGCTCGTGAGACGTGCACACACACACACACACACACACACACCACACACACACACACACACCACACACACACCCACACACACACACACACACACACCACAACACACACACACCCACACACACACACACACACACAAATATATATTATATATATATATATATTATATATATATAATTTTATCATATATATATATGCTATATATATATATTACATATTTATTATATTCATATCATTATATATATATATATATATATATATATAATATATATATATATCTCTCTCTCTCTCCTCTCTCCTCTCTCTCTCTCTCTCTCTCTCTCTCTCCTCTCTCTCTCTCCTTCTCTCCTCTCTCTCTCTCTCTCTCTCTCTCTCCTCCTCTGCCTCTACCTCTGTCTCCTCTCTCTCTCGCTCTGCTCTCTCCTCTCTCCCTCTCTCTCTCTTCCGTCGGTCTGGGTCCCTCTCTCTCTCTCTCTCTCTCTCTCTCTCTCTCTCTCTCTCTCTCTCTCTCTCTCTCTCTCTCTCTCTCTCCTTCTCTCTCTCTCTCTCTCTGTTAAACAAGTTCAGTTTCTGGTAATAGCGTAGCAAATCCAATGCGCGGAGAGCATTAAGGCCCTCCCGGGTATGCATCTATTTTAGAACTTGATAATAAGCTTGCAAATGTTTCACCTGCTTCCTATTGCTGTCACTGCACACATGAGGAGAAAGAGGCAAGTACCGTGGCATTGCCAGGCGCTGGGTCATTCACGTTGTCAGAATACGTGCCAGGCGAAGGGTCCGTCGACGGCGAAATGGGCAGCTGTGCTGTAGCCGATGCCGCCGTCCTTGTCGCGGCATCGTGGGCGGGTGTACCGAAGATGGCAGTGGGCAGGGGAGGGCCACGGCATCTGTTCCACGGCTGATGACGCTGCTCTGACACTGTCGGCAGGCCTACCAGGCGCAGGAGGACGGCCTGGGCGAAGGCTCTGTGCTGCTGCTGCAGACCTACCTGGGTCTGGGGTGGGCGCTCGGCTGCTGGGCATTCGGCTTTGTCACCGTCAGAAACAACCAGGTAACCATGTGATCTGGCCCTTGCCACGGCCTAAAAAGGACGTGATGTTTTAGTCAACCACTCTGACAAAATTGCATCGATGCGACCATCGCGATTGTAGCACTGCCGTAGTGCTGGGCCAGAGTGTGATCTGCGCGTTTGAGGTAGCTCTAACGGTTATTTATCAGCACAGCTACGCTGCTAAAAGTGAAGCTTGTTTGAACCGACCGGGGAGATAGGCACGGAAGCTTGCGAAATGTTGCACCGATCCATACGTACAGATAGAACCGGGATGGAGATTAACCTCGTAATCTACATTTTCCAATGCTTGTCCACATCACTGGGACCGCACCTGGGCCGCACACCAACAGCCTCGTGATGTAGTCATGTCGCCACCCGCGGCGTCGCCCCGCGCTGACGGCGCTCCGTGCGCGCGCGCGGCAGGAGTGCCGCATCAGCGGGCAGTACCTGTGTGATGTAGTCATGTCGCCACCCGCGGCGTCGCCCCGCGCTGACGGCGCTCCGTGCGCGCGCGCGGCAGGAGTGCCGCATCAGCGGACAGTACCTGTGTGATGTAGTCATGTCGCCACCCGCGGCGTCGCCCCGCGCTGACGGCGCTCCGTGCGCGCGCGGCAGGAGTGCCGCATCAGCCGGCAGTACCTGTGCCAGGCGTCCTCCTTCCTGTGCGGCGCGTGCCAGCTGGCCCTGCCGGCTGTGCGCGGCCACACCGGCTACGTGCTCTTCGCCTGGCTGTACGGCATCTTCTACGGCGGCTACCAGTACAGCCTCAAGATGTGCACGTACGAGAAGGTGCGCGCTCGCAACTTCGCCAAGACGTGGGGGTTCGTGCAGGGCAGCCAGGCGCTGCCGATGGTGCTCGGCGTGCCCGTCACAGGTGAGTGATGCGGCGCCGCGGCGGTGCTTCCTGAGGAGCTGCAGCTTGACGCGGGCGTGAGCTGTGGCCGCGGGCTCACGCGGACTGGACGCGCCTCACGACCAGTTGTTACTGTCAAGGCAGGAGGCACTATGCAGGTGTTTGGGTCTATGAATGGGGCATCACTAGTTATGCCTGGAGGTCGTCGGGTTTTTATGCGTACACAAAGTAATATCTTTTTTACCGCCAGAGGTAGGGTATTGATTATGCGAATTACCTTTGCATAGCTCAGTACTGTGAAATGAATACGGAATTTTCAGGAAAAGAGTGTCGTTATAATAACCTTCTGGTGATCATGCTTCCCTTGTGGTTTAATTGAGGCAAATGGAAAAGTACTAAACAGATAGCAGTAATGTTTTCATGTCAGTGAAAATATTCGCTGCTCTGACTCATACGCCTGTCACCTAGGCTACATCAACGTGGCCATCGGCGAGAAGGCCGGCTACTACTTCAGTGCGTCCTTCGTCGTCATCGGCAGCCTCAGCGTCTTCCTGATCGACTTCCAGCGGCGGCGCGGCCGACGGCGGCACCACCGGCACCGGCACGACGCGTCGACCGGCGGCGAGCGGCCGGCCGAGGCTGAGGCGCCGCGTGAGCGGGCCGACTCGCTGCCGGACGTCGATGAGCGCGTACTCAGCCTGCTGAAGCAGCGCGTAGCCGCCGTCAACAGCAGCAACGAGTTGCGCAAGCAGGAACTAACCTGCATCTCAGAGGAGGGCATCGCCGACATGGACCTTCCCGACGCGCTCTTTGAGGACATCGAGCTCGAGTTGAACCTGCTGCAGGGCGACATCACCTCGTGCAACAAGGTTCGAGAACTACTTGATGCTGAGCGAGTACGAGAACAACCTGATCGCCGAGCTCCCGGCAGGACCGGCGCGCCGGCGGCGTCGGACGGCGTCGCTCGCTCGTCAAGCAGGTGTCGTCGATGCGCGGACGAGCCGCACACCTGCTCTCCTCCAAGCCGGCCGACATCCCGGAGGAACGCAGCGATGTCGAAAGCGACCTGCCGTCGGACTCTTCCGTCTCAGTCGCGGCTCTTCCGCGGTCTGATGATGCGCGGCCGGCGGAAGGAGGCAGCGGAGGCGCCGCCGCCGCCGCCGCCGCCGCCGCCGCCGCCGCCGTGACCTTCCGACTCGGCGGCGCCGCTCCAGTCGGTGTGAGCTTCTAGTGAGAGAGCGCTTTCGGTGTGCGACGCGTCGGGCTCGCGCTCGAGCTGCGTCGGCCTCGGCCCGCGTGGACGGTGACCTGAGGGTCACGTGAGATACCGCGGCGCCAGGCGAACCAGCCGCTCTGTAGCGAGCAGGATTGGCCCGACCTTTGGACGTGAGCGCATTCGAGTGTCTCTGTTGTTGTTCGTGCAATAAATATGGCTCGTGTTTCCAGAACGCAGGTGCGTGATATGCGGTGCAGAGGAGCATGCGTTGGCCGGTAGAGGATCAAACCAAGTGAGGTGGCGGCGGTGCGGAGCCATAGCCATAGCTCACAGTATTGCCTAGAAACCGGGGCCTGCATTGTCCACGTAGTGATAACATTGATCTCGCTCTTTTACATTGGTTTAAGTTGCAAAGTGGCTATCAGGTTCACAACTTCTTGCCCGTTTTAAATCCCTTGAACTAGGAAATGGTGTATAATGGGTTCAATCCCCTCATGTCTGGATGACATTCATTCTGCACAACAGTCTTTACTGATATCGGTGTTGCGGCGCAGATCATTGGTTGACATGATGTCCACGGCTTACTGTTCAACAAAAAGGTGTTGTGGTTTAAAAAAAAAACAACACGAAAGTACGCACTCCAGCAGCCACAAGCAAACCACACGGCGTGGATTCATATGTATCTGCATGTATTTGGAACATAAATTCGGTAAATACAACGGTTCTAACATCGTTGGATCCAGCATCGGACCATGCCGCAACAAAACTCCAGTTGGGCTGCCGCATTAAATGCAGGCCAAGGGAAGCGGAAATAGGCGTTTTCAACCATTTCGTGAGAAGGGGGGGGGGGGATGTCATGCCTCTGCAAACTGGACGGGCCGTGACCCGTTGGATCCGCCCCTACTTCCTGACAGTACAATCGTTACTATGAATGTCCCTGAAAACAATAATGAATGCACACCGTGCGGTTATTCATCACCGTCTAGTAATGCAGAAATTATCACGCACCCTGTCACTGACATTGAACACTGCATACGGTAGCATCTGGAGTCCCCTCTCTCGATAACTATGTCCACGGATTTCATTGGTAGCTCAGGCACTTCTTGATTCGTTGTCTCTAAACTAGACAATTCTCCACGGCAATATAGTTCTTCCAACACTGATTCGAAGTAATGACACCGTAATACTACCGTTTCACTATGCTGACAAGTCATCGGGGAAGACACGCACCGTCCTGCGGGCCCCACCGCCGTCGATGTGATGCACATGCTGGCAGCGCGCGCCATAACAACAGGGAGCGCGCGGTCGCACATCAGAGCAGGACCACGCCTCTGGCGTCATCTGGCCGGGGAGCCACCCGTCGTGCGCCAAGCTGGGTGGGTAGCCCCGGTCTCCCTCCCCTCCCCCACCCGATAGCTGCGCCGTCGCTCAGTCTAGAGTGTGTGCTCCAGACGCCAGTCGCCAGTGTGCTCCAGACGCCAGTCGCCAGTGTGCTCCAGACGCCAGTCGCCAGTGTGCTCCAGACGCCAGTCGCCAGTGTGCTCCAGACGCCAGTCGCCAGTGTGCTCCAGACGCCAGTCGCCAGTGTGCTCCAGACGCCGGTCGTCAGTGTGCTCCAGACGCCAGGCCGCAAGGGGAGGCGGCAACAGCTCAGCACAGCACGTCACCCTGCTCACGTTGACGCCCTCGCCGTCCGCCGGCCTCACGAGTAGACCACGCCGAACACGATGATGACAATGCAAAAGGCGAGGAGGTAGAGGACGCGGCTGACCAGGTCGAGCAGGCGAGGCGAGACCGTGCGCCGCCTCGGGCGCGGCGGCAGCGGCCCCAGGTCGTCAGTCGGCGGTGGCGGCGGCGGCAGAGTCTCGGCCACGATCGCCTGCAGCGACAAGCCAACAGCGCCCCGTTAGCTGGACACCCGAGACAGCCTCGGCACGGTAATGCCATCATGGCATGGCCATGCGACCACTTTGACGCGGCGGAGCCGTTTGGCGTCCACGCTTGTCCAGGTTTGGCGTCCGGCTTGTCGTCCATGCTCTCTATTGTCTTGCCCACTGACCTACGAATTTTGATAGCTGTCCGTCGGCTATCCCTGGGTCAACACTCTTACCATTCCCCGTGACCTCCGGGCCTCCGAGCAATGATTCGGAAGAGTGGATGTGGGCTCTATGACCCTCGCATCTGCACTCAGCAACCTGACATCTTTACCATTACCATCTGATCACCATCCTTGAGCCACCTTGAACTTGACCTTGAACGGCTTGTTAGATTCCAATCCCTTAGATTCCAATCCCTGAACCTGACCTCCTCATCATTATCTTCTCTCGCCCACCGCTGAAACTGACCTCCGACTCATTATCAGCTGTTCAGACGAAATTTAGGCGTATGCATTGTTTGCTCGCGTTTCATCAGGATTATCTTTCTCTTTAAGCAAATAATGTTGCGTGGGTGCTGACCCCGCCAGCCGATGTGTCCAAACTGTGGGGCTGAGTTTGCCCCAGCCTGGGGACAAAATGGTCCTGGGTATTTTGGACGTGGCAAGCAACGTTACAACATGGTCAGCCAGTGGTAAACTTCTTCCTTGTTGTGGATACAAGACGCTTGAGGTGTGTTTTAATTTCATTGCTCCCATTAATGTGCTCCCCAAGGCACTGACCTCTGATATTCCCCCTTGGTACTAGCTACCGAGCCACGCGCACATATTCGCACCGAAACCCGACTTGGGGAGGCTGGCCACCTATCTTAATCTCTGAGTATGACCTCCGCACCATTACCCTCTACTACAAGCCAGCAAAAGGGTCATTTAGGTCATGACCACCTGACCTTCATCCCTGAAAACATTGTTCAGGACGCTGTCACCCGATATTCTCACGGCCGGGCCTGACCTCTGGGTCGTTGTCGTTGCCGTTTTGGGCGGGCGGTTTGGGCGGCTGCAGCTCCGGCGTCGCCGCGTCGTCGGTGACCGAGCCACAGCCCAGACTCATGCGGTACACGACCAGGCTCTGCACCAGCGCCCACAGCAGGAAGAACAGGCACACGAAGTTCCAGAGGTCGAGTGCCTTTATAAAGGCCACCGGTGGCGCCGCCCTACCGGCGATCGCCGTTACTATGAAGCAAGCCAGCAGCATGAAGGAGGCCAGCAGAGCCCGTACCACCACCGCTGCGGAAGGGGAGACATGACCTGTCACACCGGCCTGAGGGTGCGGAAGGGAAGACATGACCTGTCACACCGGCCTGAGGGTGCGGAAGGGGAGACATGACCTGTCACACCGGCCTGAGGGTGCGGAAGGCAGACATGACCTGTCATACGGGCCTGAGGGTACGGAAGGGGAGACATGACCTGTCACACCGGCCTGAGGGTACGGAAGGGGAGACATGACCTGTCATACGGGCCTGAGGGTACGGAAGGGGAGACATGACCTGTCACACCGGCCTGAGCGACATCGGCTGCTAGTGATGGATTCAGTAATGGTGAAATAAACAACGGCACGCTATATCATGGCATCGCGGTAACGCTACATTCACAATGCCGCACTGCGTTGCATAAACGCTGGATCAATAGCGTGACGTAAAATACAACCGATTTGGCGTCTATCGCTTATTAAGGCAATTGATCAAGCGATGAATGCATTCGCAGATGCATATTGCGTTTAGCACCAATCAGCTGTGACTTTCACTTACAGCCTGGGCTGAGCCAGAAAGTCATGTAGGACGCAATCACCAAGATGCAGGTGGGTATGATGTCGTTGATGATGTAGTAAATTGAGACTCGTCTGAAGGTCACCCTCAAAACTAGAGACTTCGAACGAGCCGGTCCACCTGAAGCGACACAGATTCACAAAAACAGTGTCAAAACAGTTCAGCAGCGTCATGCCTCATAACGATGGCTATGGAAGTATTCTTGGCGAAGGGCACATGAAGTTGAAATACTTTCGCAGTTGACATTTTGGGGAATTTCAGCCTCACAGTTCTACTAAATTCATCGTGTTATTGTTGAGTGTTCCAATGAAAGACGCGTTGGCACAGCCGTTGGCTTTTCAGTGTGCTAGGGCAGTGCGCTACCCGGCCCATGTAGTAGACTGGTGCCCTCTGAAAAGGCAAGGCCGACAGAGGCAAGACTGACAAGGCAAGCCTTTCAGTACTATTTTTGGTTTTTTAGTGTCGCTTAGTGAAAGGGCGCTGAATGTTCTGCATCAATGCGCGGTAAACCGCTCACGCAGGCATCAAACTACAGTTGCTTTGCACGCGGTGTAAAATGCAAATAGGCACTTGATCCTGCAATGGCGCAGGGAAGGTGCGCAGCAAAACGTACGTTTTCCGGTCACGCATTTAAGAAGCTAGACAATGCCTGGCTGGCCAATGTTTCCAGCCTAGCACCAGGCTGCCCGACCGCCTCACCATGATCTTCGGCCATGCTGCCGATGCGGGAGCTGGCGCCTAGCGAGGTCAGGCGGAAGCCGCTGATGGAGAGGTTGGGCCCGGCGTACACGGGTCGGACGCCCGAGCGGGTCCAGTTCAGCATCAGCGCCTTGCTGTCCAGGTCTGAGGCAGCCGCAGGCAAGCGTTACCACAGCCATCAGGGCTGGGATGATGACCTGATGTGGCTTCATCAAGTGGTCACGCAGCTTTATTGCGTCATCACACGGTGACACGGTCCAGCTTGTCATGCATATATCACCTAGCAATCTGGTTCGAAAACTCGAAAGGCGTTCGATTCCTGTTACGTGATGCGTCTAACATTCAGATGGCATTACCAAGGAGGAGGACGTGGCTTTCAATCTCGTATTTTCATGTGCTAGCTGTCGATCAGTTCAAAAACATGTTTAGGGGTTTCAGCCCTGCTGTTGCGATATTCCATCCAACATGGCTCGACGTAAACTCCTCGTAAATCGGCTGCGGGGTCAGCGTTTTGGTGTAGGGCTATCAGCCATGATCCCACCAAGGACAGTCACTACCAGGCGGGAATGCCGCACGCAGCTACGTCGGTCTTACTTTGCCGAAGGAAGACACGGCATGTGTTCTTGTCCCAAGGGAAATAAGCCACGTTGAGGCCACAAGGAGCCTTGGTGATAACCCTGAAAAGAAAATGGCGATGGGTGCGTTTTCAGCCAATAGAACGATCAACCAATGTTGCATTTTAAAAGGAATGCCCCATGTTTGGGGCATATTTGAAAACCATACTCCAGTGGAACCTCAGGACTAGTTAGTCTAATAATAGCTCCTGCGCATTGTGCCGCTGCAGCACCGCCAAGACATAATGAGGATATCAGTTTTACTGATATTTTGTCCAAGTTACGCCTGCAGCGCTTTGTACGAGAAATACACTTATTCCCTGCAGTCGAAACCAACGTCGGCATGACAACCGTGCGCGCCTCTACTGGTGTGAATGAAAAAAGTCTGTGGTTGGCCCAGCGAGTAAGGGCCGTTACCGAGAAGCTGATTTCTTGAAGTTTGAATCAGTACGTCAAATGGATCATATACTATTCCCATTTCCAAAGCCAAAGTACAGCTGGACAATAGCCCATGTAGCAAAAGCAATGGGGGGGGGGAGAAATCAAAGCCATATCATAACGTGTCGTTAAATTCGCGGAATAATAGTTTGATGCTCGCATATACATATATATATATATATATATATATATATATACATCCTCCTGGACTATGTGTATATATATATATATATATATATATTATGGCCAGGCCATATATATATATATGGCTCCTCCTATATATATATATATATATATATATATATATATATATATATATATATATATATAATTGTCTAAACAGTGTTTCAGGTTTCCTAACATTCATAACACAACCATTTTGTCACATAAGTGTGCAGCAAACATTACAGGACACACATGCGCAAAACGCGAGGCAAATGAAATGGATCACTTTCATAGTGATAAGCCAGGAGCCAAATGAGATTTCGCCCTCAGGGTCGGCTACTTGAAACCGAAATTCTGAGCGTTTCGGAAGGATTTCTAGCAAATTGGCCTTACTGTTTAAATCGTACGCGTTTGATGCAGCAGTACGTGAAAATTACAAAAAGGTGGGATAATCCCTTTAACCAGTCAGCGAGAGAGCAATATAGAAAGAGAACAATAAATCAAGAAAGCGGGAGAGACAGTACAAGCGGGCAAGGGAGTGAGATAGTGACGGTGAGTACTCTAACAAAACATTGGGGAGGGGGCAAGCAGACACGATCTTTACCTTACATCTTTCTACCTTGCATCTTTCTGTAAACTGCAATCAGAAAGTGTTCATTTATATCAGGAGATGGATGGCAGCTACCCTCACTCCTCCCCTTTCCTTTCCGATCTCCGTTATGTTTGCAGCGAGCAAGGAGCGAGAGAGAGAGTGAGAGATAGTGTGAAAAACAGCTGAAAGAGGGTTTTGATGGGCACGACCGCTGGGCAGCAACATTATTGGGCAATAGCCGGCTAGCACAAGCTAAGGATGGGCTGCTGGTGGATTTTGGGTATCAGTGATATAATGTTTCGACCACCGTCTGCGTCTCAGACAAGACATATGCACGAACCCGCATGATCTATCGCTGCTCGAGAAGACATTGTTTGTTCTGGGCGCCGGTGGACGGAGGTTTGGGCACCGATGGACGGAGTTTTTCGGCTCAATAGTAAGGACTTCCTGGTGGGCTGAACTCTGTCTGGATGAGGTAACCTATCACTTAGTCTATACACAGTGCATTGCTTGGAGCTGTCGAGGGCTTTGGACTGCTTAGACGTGTCTGGTCCGTGCACGCGGTTCTAATTTGGAAACACGAATGGTGCCGCAGTGCGAGGTTTGCTGGAGGGCAGCGCGTGAGTGCTCTACGACGGAATGGAAGGATGCTAGACTTGCAATACGGCGGTAGCAAGTACAGTTCCCGGCGCAAGCGAGCTGTTTGGCCGACTGTCGAAAATGGTTCGTCGGCAACTGGACAAACGTGATGAGCCTGGACCGTGCGGCAGTGTTGCGGTGTCGACACCGAATGACGTGGAAAGGTTTGCTGATAACTGGCCAGACTGGCCTAGCTGACCCGTGCCGCCGTACCGCAGGGGTCAGGGAGATAGGGTGTTATAGTTTGATAGGCTGACAGACTGTAACGCACGTAAAGCCCTTTACAGCCTTGTCTCATGAGACGACCGTAGAGCAGTCTCTCAATAACTAGATCCACCGATTTTTGGTGCGAGGTCCAGGAACACGAGACTCCGTTGTGCTCATAGCAAATACCAGACGGAGCTTGGTATGTGCTGTGAACATCCCCCATCCATAGAGATCACTGAATATAACATTTTTAGCTGGAAGTGTTGAGCAGCGTGGTGAATTTCGAGGACCCGAGGGAGAAGCGGGACCACAAGCGAACAGGGAAGAGAATGACGGCATTTAAAGGAGCAACATCCTAATCCCACCCTGCACTTAAAGGCTGATACCTTCACTTCTCCATTTATTTCGACCGCAACAAAAGCAATATGTCACGCATACCAATGGAGAAAAACAACTACGATTAATGATATGCCACCCCTAATCATGGAGAAAAAACACAGCCGACAATAGCCGACAACAACTGGCATGAAACAATGGAAACATGACGTATAAGACGGTTGGGCATGGAACAGGTGATGATGAAAGCAGGGAATCGACATTTTGCATAGGACTGGAGCTTGAGGTTCACTGTTACCATGCATAGGCCTCCGGAGTGGAAACTCACCTGCGCTGCCACGTAATAGTACCGTTCGGCCGTATCATAAACATGTTGTCCAATGAGTTATCGAAATCCACCGACAGAGAGCGAGGATACAGCACAGATGGCAGCCATATCTTGGGAGCATCCATTAGTCCTGAAATATGGCGAATACAGCCCATACAGACCAATCATCCAGCAACTAGTGGACCAGAGAACCAATGTAAACGCTGCAAAAAACCCTTTGAAGTGAAGTATGCAGACACGACGTTTTGTTTTTGAGAGCATAGTAATAATTTGTTTGAGCACGAGAAGCAGAACGAGAAGTACGAGCAGTACTTCAGAGCAGTAAAAGCAGTACGAGAAGCAGAAGCCTTAACTTTGGACTATTGTACAAGTCCTGTAAATGCTATAAACATAGCACAGGCCTGCAATTCGATAATGATTTAAAATGCCAGTTTCTCAAGATGCCGAGGAAGGTCAGCTTAACTTAATGATTTAGACTAACCTAAACATCTTATTTCAAATCAGCATGTATGAACTCACCTCACGATAACTCATAATGACGTAACGCAATCAAATATCGGTTTTACGTAACCTTACGTTTATGGGATCAAAACACGGCTTTAGAAATGACAAATGGCAAACCCCCAACAGCGGCCCGGTTCTCACACGGGAATCGAAACGCGGCACATGTCTGCATTGCGGGAGCCTGAACCTAGCAGAGAAAAACGAACATTACTGATGCGATTACTCATGCAGCGCTGCACTCAACCGCGAGGATCAGGCGGCCACCCTTCCGTATGAGCCACGCACTGCACGAGCAAAAGGCGCCGTACGATCGCTGCCATCGACAGGCGCGGACGACCACCGCTCCTGGAAGCCGTCCACCAGCCCGTGACCCCCCATAACCACTGCATGCCCTGCACGCACATACCAGCGGTGGCGTGTGAGATCATCAGGCCGCCGGCAGCCGGGGATCCCCTGTACCGCAGCCGCATGTCGGTCCAGGTCAGGCGCCACAGGCAGCGCAGCGTCACCGCCTGTGAACGGCCCGGGTCAAATCCACAGCATATACCGAACACCGGCAGCCGGCGCGTCAATGCGTTCCGCTCCCCGTCCACTCAGTTAACTCCCCCTGCTCTCTCTCT